GCATTCAGGACACGCAAATTTATATTCAACCTTATACGACTTTGATCCTTGTCACATATTCTTGTATTTGCTTACTTCATGGTGATGAAATTGCTCTTGCGAGCAAAACTCATTAACATTACTCCAGCTTACCCATTCCACAATCCCACAACTAGGTCCAACATTTTAACTTTTAACTTTAAAACCTGTGGCTTGTGTAAATGTAATTCTGAGTATTAAAGTTTGCTTGTTTGGCAACGATAAAACAAATTTCTCTGGAAATAAATGTAAAGGATAGAGTTTGTCTATGTTGATTACAACATCAACATGTTTTAATTTTCAATGTAACATTAAATAACTAGAAAATGAAAGCATTTACAAGTACTTATTTGCTCTTCTTCCATAAGAGATATTCTTCTTAAAAGACATTACCATGTCTTGCCATATATCATAGAAAGAGCTTCCTGTATTATCTTCTTTCACAAAAGTCTGCGAATGTCATAAAAATCTCCTTGCCGAATATCATGGTGAGCCGGCGAAGTACGAAGTCATGTAATTCCGGCCAATAAAAAGGCCTTTTTCAAGCGAGCATAGCTAGTGTGAAACGTTACTGGGGATCTCCCCTAAAAAAGGTCAAACTGATATATCGTTGTCTTGCTGAAACCTTTTTAGATTCTTCTCTGATCTTCCTTTGAGCTAGAGATACATTGATCACTACGAATGTAGAATGAATGCTCACTAAAAGAGTTATTCCTCAGGTTTATAGTGGAGTAACGAGTATTATTACATGTTCTTTCATATATAGTAAAGACCAGACATTTATTCTTGAACGTGAAGTAATTCAAAGATTGTGATTAAATCCCCTCATTTTATGATAGTAACAAGAAATATATCTTAACGAAAAGGTTCTTATTTTGGAACAGCAGGAATATAACAAGATGGAAAACTCAAATTGTTTATTATTAAATAATACACAATAATAAATAGTCAAATTATTGTTTGTATGTATTTAAAGAGTTCACGCTGTATACAAATATACGGAGATTGAAAATAATAACGAAAATAATTCGGCTTTCATCTTTTACGAAATATTTATTCTAGGCCCTTTTCGTATATCATTTCCCTTTGTGATAGTTTCAATAACTCGATAGAAGTAATGGACTTTCATTTCAATAAAAATTGTTGTATTGTTTATATGAGAGTAAATATTGCATTTTCTTGGGTATTAAAAACCAACGTAAGGATCAATTTGTTGATTATAATACCTCTAATTTATCCAAATTTTCATAAAATAAGATCCAATTCCATGTAACATTGCTTGCGTATAAACGTATGGTAGATTATGGGTTGCGTTTTTTAGATTTCATGCATGTGTGCGGGCTTATTGTATGAGATGTTCATCAATATTCTACAGTCGGTCAGACAATTCGTCTCACTTAAAGTTTTCATTCCTGAAAGATTGAGATTTATGAGCCAAGTCCAACTTTCATGGCAAATTGATCTTCTCCTGTGGTTTATAAAAAAGTCTGTGTGTCCCGTATCTTGCTGTTTTCTGTGCGGGCTTATTGGTAACCATACGCCGACTTCTGCTGAGCTGTACTTTCGCCCTGCGATTTTATCGGAATTTTGAGAAAGTTTCATATGATAGCTCTTAAAAACGAATTCTTCGAAAGTGTTGTAATCACGAAATATAGGGCAAAGCAAAAAAGAAAATTTAGCAAGAGAAGCAAAAAGGCGACAGTGGTGAAAAGAGGCGCTTCTTATAAGTTGGTAGCAAGATATTGGGAGAGGGCCCTGCTGGCAGAAAGAGGAGGGAAGAGAAGTTGGCAAGAAACAACAGTATTAGAGGAGGGCTGATAAACACAGCGATCGTGAATGTGTGGAGCTTGGATCAGACGGCACGAGAATCGATTCACCAACCTCGATACTCGACCCAAAAAGTTCGAGATGGAACTAAACAAACCTTGCTATTTACAAAGTAATATATTGTAGTCACGTCAATGAGGGAATCGGTAAACAATTTAAACGTGTTGCTGAACTGTATAGTGAAAAGTAACACTGAGAACACAATTTACCTATACACATATATCTTGACCAATACCTATATTGTTATGTTAATCTCTTTAAGAACACATTGTATTGATTATTTTGTAGAAACGGTTGTTATCAACTGACTTCTATGGTAATAAATTCTGAAGTGGTGCAGAATATGTAATGAAAAAATTCAGGCCGTGCTGTTTTGACTTGACCTGATGAGACCAACGAGGCAAGGTTCACATTGTTCCAGTAACATGTTCACAACAACGTTCTCGAAATCACTGAGACTCGCTCTTTTTACAACATAACTCTCTGAACATATCCTATTAATTGTTAGGAAAAACACATTTGCAAGCATAATTGCAAATGTGTAAAATTGCAAGTATTATGCAAGGATTGCTATTTTGTGGGATGCGTGTGAAAAAGGAGTGAAGTCTACATATGTCCGGTATTCCATTAGAGACAGGGCAAGGATAATTTAACTTAAAGGAGAATCCCGCTTTATCTACACACTTTTTAATGAATCATACGGTACAATTAGACCGAGAAGATTTAAATCTGGATATTCAATCAAAAATCAGGTCATGCTCAGCCTTACCGTTATATTATAAAAGATCCTTACCGTTAGACTGTCAGAATAGTTTTTCAGTGAGCAAATACTGAAAAGATCTCCCAGCTCGACCTTGAAACTAACCATTTTTATAAGTTAATATGATACAAATTTCAACAGGTATATACACATGATATTATTTATCTAAATATATATTTAATTTGATTAATGAGTAATAAGAATATTTAATATTTACTATATTGTATGCTCCTGTTACCGTGTTTTATATGTTGAGAGAGTATCAATGGGGATTTTTTATCTTTATCATCTGGGATGCTCGAAATGACGTTTCCAAATACTTATTGTTTTCAATGAATAAGGGTTCTTATCATGAATTTAGGTTATAACATGTACGTATCTGCAAATAGTATGATTACCTCGCCTTGTAAACAAATTTGTTGAGATCTCTCGAGAAATTAGGAGATAAAGTTCAAACCATTTTTGTTGGGAACAACCAGACTTCGAGATTCATAGAAGTGCGGATTCACATAAAAACGCACTTGTGTAACATAAGGGCACGCAAAGCTTTACGGATTTTTGACAAAACTTCCCTTTGAAATGAGAAATTTAAAAAAGAGCATCCGCATCCGAGCGACAGAGAATTAGCCTGAAATCAAAGGGAAGTACGCAGATGTACTGGAATGTCAGCGAGTGGTCATAACGGCACTCGGATGGTAGGAAAGTACGTGGGAGGGTGGGTTGCGCGACTATAAAGTGAGGTAGTGATGTCAGAGAGAGTGGGGGTGCTGGCTTTGATGGAGGAAACGTTTCGTGGGATAATCTTTCTTTCGAAAAGAGATACAATTTCCGTTAAGTTTCTGACGCATTGGTGAGTAACATGTTGCTTAATGACTAGGGAAGGATTTTGGTTTAAAATATTACCAAAAATGATCAAAAAATGCTCTTAAAAGGATTTTAAAATGCCCCCCAAAAAAAGAAAAATTACGTAAACTTTTTTATCAAAAGCATTTCAGATAAGCAACTCAATATGTTGGGTATGTTACATATGTAATCGAGGCTTCTTTCATTTGTTCAAGTGAACTCAGCCTACAAACCTTTGATTTGGACTTAGAAAGAAAATATCTGCTTTCATTTATCGCGAAATCAGCCAAACTGACAATGGCGTCAACAGGCGTCACAAGAACCTTATACTACATGGTACTCAACGGCTGACATTAAAATACATGAGCGAAGAAAGAATAGGCAACTCAGGAATCTTGTGGTAAAAATTGGTTGCAGCTCTTAAATATTGTTTGAACCTAGTACCATTAAAATGGTATTAAAATCGATGAAATCAACAAAAAATGCATTAAAAATGACGTTAAAAGGTAAAAAATACTTAATTGTCAAAACTGACGAAAAATGCAAAAAAAAAAAAAAAAGACAGAAAAATGGTTTAATTCCTGTTGTCATAACATAAAATGAGTTTCTATACTAAACGGCATTGCTCTAAAGTGAAAAGAGAAAAGATGACATATCATTAAATTAGCCCCCTATTAATGACCATAAATTTCATGACAAAACACTGTAATCCGAAATGCTAAGTTAAAACTTAGAGCGACGAAGAATAAGCAAGAAATCAAACGAAAGTGTACAACTGGACAATCATGCGAGAGAAAGGATGGAAGAAGCAAGGGAAATTGCCGTGAGGGTGGAGGTGCAGCGAAGGGGAGGGCGACGTAGGTCCAGTGCTACGCGGAGGGGCGAGGATGTAGTGCGGGCGTTAGAGGCGACGACTGGCGCGGGGGAGAGTGGGGAGGGAAGGAGACGAACGGCAGCATGAGGACGAGGATGGTACACGCGAGAAGCAGCGCAAGGCAACATGGACGATGGGGCAGGTGAGATCCATGGTATAACCAGCAACAAGGGGGTGGGTTTGGTAGGGATAGAGGGTGTATCGGTAGTGATGGGAACGCTGAGAGAGAGAAAAATAGTGAGTGTGGGATAGAGTAGAGTGAGTGAGAATGAGAAAAGAGAGAGAGTGAGAAAAAGAGAGAGTGAGAAAATGAGAGAGTGAGAAAATGAGAGAGTGAGAAAATGAGAGAGTGAGAAAATGAGAGAGTGAGAAAAAGAGAGAGTGAGAAAAAGAGAGAGTGAGAAAAAGAGAGAGCGAGAAAAAGAGAGAGCGAGAAAAAGAGAGAGCGAGAAAAAGAGAGAGTGAGAAAAAGAGAGAGTGAGAAAAAGAGAGAGTGAGAAGAGAGAGAGTGAGAAGAGAGAGAAGCGATAGTGGACGGTGGGCTCGGGGGCGTTGGAGACGACTGGTCAATGTGATCGGCGAGGAAGTGCGGTGTAGGAGGGGTCGGCGGCGGATGTGACATCGAAAAATGCGGCTGGGACGGTGGAGATTGAGACAGATGTGGGGTCCACATCACAGTCGGCGACGGCAAGGGAGCGGGAGCAGCTAGTGGCGGGAGCGCTCGTGATAGTATCTGCGGCAACGGCAAGAAAACAGGGGGAGATGACAGTGGAGACTGTGTAGTCAGTGGAAGTAGCGAGGTTGGTGAGTGAAGTAGCGGCGAGAGAGCAATGCGAGCGACAGCGGAGAGGTCCACAGGGGAGAGGCAAGCAGCAGACGATGGTGCGGCAGCAAGACAAATTAAGGCTATGAGTCCGGAGAGGACGAGGGTAGGTTGGCATGGGTGCTGAAGTATCATGAAAAGTGGGGGGAGAGGTGATGGAGGAAATGCAGGGGCAGGTATGGGGGGGGGGCAGTGATGGTGAGAGTCGGCAGGTCGTCAGAGGGTGGGGAGGGATTGAAGGGTGACGCATAGCGGGTTGGCGCCGACAGGTAGCTTCAGGGAAGGTGAATGGTAACGGCAGGACCGTAGGTCATGGGGTGGTGACGGTGGCGATGAAAACCTTCGGGACGGTAGTGGTAATGGAGCAGTGTCTGGAGAGCTGAAGGGGGTGAGGACGTCGAAAGGGTGGGCGCTGGTGAGGGACCGTGCGTTCCAGGACAGCGGGACGGCGGTCGGCGCGGGACGGCGGGAGCTGTGACAGGGGACCCGCTAGAAGCAGATAGAGGGGACGACAGTGAGAGCAGAGCGTTGGGCCGTGGGGTCGTCGTCGAGGAGAAGTGGCGAGAGAAGTGCTGATGAGGGGGCGACGGTGGGTGTAGCGCGTTGGCCGAGAAAGCGGAGCTCCAGGGAAAACGGGGTAACGGAGACGGTAGAACCGCAGACAGTGGTGACGGTGAGAGCGAAAGTGTTGAGAGATGGTTGGGTCTCATCGAGTGGGCCGGCGAGAGAGGAGGGCGGGGGAATGCGAAGTGTGTGTGGCGGCCGCAGCGGACGGAATGGCGAGGAGCGACATATCAATGAAGGTTGTGAGGGCGTTGTGGGCGTCGGTAGAGATACAGGGAGAAGCTGTGTCGCCGGCGGGACCGCAACGATGAGGCGGTGATGGCGAAAGGCGAAAGAGTTAGGGGTGGTGGGTTTTTCACTGAAAT